TTATTTTAACACCACAATTTCTTATGGATGCCGGATTCCTGGAAAAAATTATTGTTACAAATCCAGAAGATACTCATTGTCTTGGAACTCATCTCGGATACTTCATCAGAAAAATGTTAGACTATGGACAGTGGGCAACTGTACATATCAAATCCGCGCCAGCAGAATGGATAGGACTTTTTGATATAGAACCAGCAATACATAGAATGATGATTACAGTTAGCAATATACCACCAGCAAGGAGAACGACAGAAGAACTAGAAAAAATCAGCAGCAGTCTAGTGGAATGTCCATTAGAATTAAAAGAACAATTGATAAATGCTAAAATGATCCAATTAGCTTACAGACATTTCATAGATCAATGGGAAAATGGGATTAGATTAGTATATGAAAATAAGATACAAAAGATATATGTCCCATATAGGTTTAAGTTAGAAAAAGATTTCACTATAAGCACCAATTATCCAGAAGTTTTTGAAAAATATTTAGAAGGATATTATATGAGCTCAGGAGCAAGGCATTTGGATATCGAAGCAGATGAAGAATATAATGATGATCATTATTGGGAAACAATGGGACCAGAAGAAATGAGCAACATCGAGAATATGATGGAAGGATAATTCTTCGGCCATCTTGTCCAAAGCTATAATAGATCGGTCATAAAGCTTTTATTGTATAGTTTGGCCAAATTACTTTTTGTATAGGACGGCCATAGAGCTTTTAGCCTTTATTCGCTGACAGCCACATTGTATAGATAGGCAATATTGATTTGATGTTTTTACGGATTTCAGTAGGTTTTAAGTCCGTAAAAGTTAACATGTCATATCCACGGACTTTTAGTCAAAAATTTTAAGTCCGCACAGTTTACACAAGAAGTCTATAAAGGCATACGTCCCAAACCAATGTTGGGTACGATGCACTTACATCCTGTAAATTAAAGCATCCAATAAAAACTCCAATTTCATACGTTCTTTAGCAGTTTTTTACAAGTCTTTAGCTCTCTCATATTTCTAAGCATAAGACGAAAGAGAAATAAGAAAGTAGAGATTTAGGCAGCCAACTCTAGATTAGATCCAAACAACCGGAAACTCTGAAAAAGATACCTTGTTTTTAGGATCCTAAAAGACCAAAAGACGGTGTAGTACCCATTAAAGCCTTTCAGTTACAAAGCAGCGCCAGGGGAAGATCCGGTGAGGCAAAACTCCTAATCACAAGATTCCCATTTTCACAGCATCAGAAGGAAAATTTGGATTTAAAGCAAGGAAGGTAAAATCTCAGTTATCTTTCTTAAAGTATCTAGTAGTCATCAATTTCTTAAATTCCAGTTAATCATCCTGATATTTTATATGAATTTTGAACCGCCTTTACAATTTACATCCACTCCAAAAAACGCATACAGATTAGCATTACAAAGCCTCAGACAACCAGATACCTATTATTATTTTGACAAAATTTTAGAGGAAATTGAAACAACAGACCAGTGTTTAGCACATATACAAATAGAAGAAGCTAGATTATCTAAAGTAGCACACCACCATCCCGCATCATTTCTAAAAAATTTAAGACAAGCAAAAGTAGATTTACTTTGGCATAAATACTCTGAATTAAAATCAATAGAAAGACAAAAATTAGAAGAACAAGAAAAATATAAAAATAAAAGGAATTTTTGTAATAAAGTTTGTAGAACATCTGATTAACATTTAATTAATCACGTAAAAGACTTTAATTAGAGCCGTAAAAGTCCAACATAGTCCAACATAGGTCTTTAATTGGAGCCGTAAAAGTCCAACCACTAGTGTGTTTGGTATCAGAGCATAATATAATATAATATATACATAATTGAAATATACATATGAATATATATTAATATACATATTATTAAAAGAAATTGAAATAAATATATTTTAAACAAAATATTAATATTTATATATAAATATATTTATTTATTTCAATTGATATAATATATATAAATTATATCAATTGAAATAAATATTATATATTTATATATAAATATAAATATTTTGTTTCAAATATATTTATATAAAATATATATATATATTTATATAGATTTATAAATATATTTATTTCAATTTCTTTTAATAATATGTATATTAATATATATTCATATGTATATTTCAATTTGTATATTTCAATTATGTATATTATATTATATTATATATATATAAATTATAGTAATATTAATATGTATATTTTAATTATGTGTATTAAAATGTATATTATATATATTATATCAATTGAAATAAATATTATATATTTATATATAAATATAAATATTTTGTTTCAAATATATTTATATAAATATATTTTCAATTATGTATATTAATACCGTATTATATATATTATATCAATTGAAATAAATATTATATATTTATATATAAATATTAATATTTCTTTTAAAATATATTTGTATATATTTATTATGTAAATATATTTATATATTAATATACATATTATATTTATATACATATATATATATTAATATACATATTATATTTATAAATTATATTATATAAATATATTAAATATATATTATTATACATATTATCTTTATAAATTATATTTATATTATATATATTAATATACATATTATAAAACAAAATTGAAATAAAAATATTATATAAATAAATAAATAAATATTAATATATAGAAACAGAGCCAGTATATATTAAAAAAATTTCAAAAAAATTACAAATTATAAAATACTCAAAAATATATTTTAAAATATCTCTAAAAACAATCCAAAAAACTATACAATAAAAATTTTTCATATATGCAGTTACAGTAAAGTTTTTAAAAAATACTTTCAAAAACAGCTAATCCAAACGGAGCCTAGAATCCGATCTATGATTCCCCTAATGAGTAACAGCTGGGGAAAAAATTTAAAATATACATGATCCTGTAAGCTACAGCAGCATACTGTAAGACGTCTTTGGAAGCCCTCTCACTTTTCTTTACCAATTCATATATCACCAGTGACACCATAAATCCAGGTAATATGGGGCTAAGAAAAGTATCAAATATCACTGAACTGAAACAGAAGCTCCATTAAACCATTCTGCATTATTTCAGGTGAGGAACAAGAAGATTATAGTTCCAATTATATAGTACATTAAGGATCAGTCACGTCTTCCAAATTTCACAAGGCTGAGTTCAACAATAAGAAGTTTATGAAATTTATCTCAATAAATAAATGCAATTTCATCACAAACATTTCCTGCATATGATGATGCCTAGAAAAATGGATATAGATGCAACAATAGCACCCTGTCTAGATAAAGCAAATTCTGTCCATGTCAAAGGCCTTGTGACCTGGACCAATACCTTCTGAAAATTTTCATTCAGATCTGCCAGTGATCCAGTGTTATCTATTAGAATATCTGCTTTGGTCCTTTTGAGATCAAGAGACATTTGAGAGTTAATCCTGCTCTTAGCATCTTCTTCTGTGGTTCCATCTCTTGCCATGAGCCGATGGAGCTGAGTCTCGGGATCAACCCAAACAACAGCAATAGGATTTGTCCACCTGTCCATCTTGGCTTCAAACAACAAAGGGACATCAAGCACAATAATTTTGCACCCCTTCATCCATAGTTTCAACACTTCCAAGAGAATGCCTGATGAGATGTATGGTGCCAGAAATCTAATTGCATAAATTGCCAAAGTCAATCAGCTCATTCAATTCTAATGACTGATGCACATGAATCAGAAAGAGGAAATAAATCTAACAAGCTCTTTAGACTGCCACAAGCTAGAAAATCCAAACATGATTTATATATATATGTATGAAAACTTCTCAACTTCACAGCAGACCATTTACAGGAACAATAGGCAGCAGCCGAATGAACTAGCAACATATCATCCAAAATTCGCCCGCTGCAAAGCACATAAACTCTTGGTCCCTGCGAACCCTACCCATTATATCCAAAATAGTTGGCAGGGGGGAACTTTCCAAGAGTTCAACTCAAAGTGATTCTGTTGTCGTATTTAGATAAGATACAGGCAAAGTCCAACCATAGTCAAACAGTTTTAACTGAGCATCAAACTAACAATATTCAAAGCATCACCAAACTTGAAAAAGCTATTTGTTCATGGCTACTGACCAAACATCAGAGTTTTCACTCTACATCAATGTATCATGGCAATAATTACTTCACTAATATCTAAATGCAACTTTTTCCCTTATCTAAGCAAAGCACAAATGAAAAATCCAAAGATAGTTTTTACATTACCATCAAGGAAGCTGATGCCTAGTCAAAGCTTTAATGTAAAACTAAAGGGGCACAGCATTTATCCACAAGCTAACTAGTCACATCCGGATGTTGGAAGCTTCCATATACATCAATCAGATACCAGTTAAGAGTATGTACCTATTAAGAATAAAGAGTACGTACCTATTAAGAATCTGGCGTTTTTGTGGATCAGAAAATACAATGCGACCTAACTTCGGGCGATCCACCTCTCCATCAGGAAGCAGGATGTCCTCCCCAAAAGCAGCCACCACCTTTTTCCAACCAGCAGTACCTTTTTTCAAAACATCCTGCAAGTTAAAAAAGCGCTACTGAAAGTTGAAACCAAGTACTGGTAGGTGCTCAAGTTTAATTTCAGTATGCAGTAAATTACATCATTAACACTGACTAATATATATCTATTAGTTAAAGAAATTAAAGAATAGCAGTTGAGGTACTAGTAGTTGTAGATTTTGGGCTGTTTCAATCGGAAAGAAAAAGAAAAGAATTGACTAGTGATGGAAGAAACAGAGAGTAGGTTAACAAACGGGAACGATTAATAGGAATTGGAAAAGTGGGGCTTACATGGGCAATGACGTCAGCATCGACGACCGGAATACCATGGGCCTTGAAAAGATTGGAGACGCTACTCTTCCCTGATCCAATCCCTCCGGTCAGCCCCACTATCCTCATTCTCGACCGATTGATTTCTTATTACTATGAGTAGAATCCCAGTACCAGCCTACTGATTCAACAATAATCGGTGACTATTTTTGGCGTAACTAAATTAATCGAGTACTAAATAATTACATTAGTCCTACAAAGTGCTCCGTCATCTTCAATGATAACAACTCCCAGTTCATGAATTCTTTGTTTGGGGGAACCATGACGTTGCAAAGCCAAAAGTAATCTGCTTCTGAGGTCCTGCTAGTAGTGGACTGGGGGTTTGTGGGAAGCGTCAGTTGTCATCTAATAAGAGTAAGGCAATTGATCCACCTAACAAGCAGCGCATCTGGTGTAGTGGTAATCAAGCAGCGATGTGTGTTGAGCCCCCTATGTGGGAGCCACAGTTGTTTATATGGAACTTTGATTGCCGGATTGCCCTCTGATTTCTAATTTAGAAATCACCTAAAATAAGCAATAACAAATTTTTTTTTCCAGAAAATGATCCCTCTCTCTGAATTTCAGTTGGGGACTTTTATCAAATAGCTGGTACCCAATGAAAACCGATCCCACAAATGCACCAGAGAAACGAAGAAGAAAAACCAAGAATAAGTCATAAAAAAAAAATCATGGTATAATCACAGATGAATTTGAGAACACAGTATGGATTGAAAGAGCAAGTAGAGCAACTTTACTGAGTTATTTCTGGTGATACTCCTGTGGTTGCTCAATGATCATCTCCTCTGCGGGTGGTGGTGGCGGATTCACTATTTGATGACATCTTCAGTTGCATGGATTATCAACAGAGTCTTCTAGATGGTTAATCAACCTTTGAGCTGGCTTAGCAGTTAGCAGTCTACTTCCGTCCTACCTCAGTTAAGCCAAAAGAGAAAAAGAAAAACAAGAATGCAAAAAAAAAAAAAAAAAAATTTGATAAGTGAATGCTAAATATCAATCTAGAACACTGATTTCAACTTTCAAGCAACATAAGAGGTAGCTTTTAACTTCAACGTCTAAAATATAATTAGTGTCTAGTACTTGTGCCAAAAATTTTTTTTTAAAAAAGTAGCTATCTAGTTTCTGCAATTCCAACTAAAAGTAGACTAAAAGTAGCCATCCTGATTTCTGCATATCTCAGGAAGCAACAATGGAGTTACCAAAAGAGGTGCATCCCAAAATTTTCAGTAACTTTGACATTTCCTCAAGCAACAAAGGAAATCCATTAATTCAAATAAAAGAATTAAAGAAAAAGTCCCAATAAAGTTCTTGCACGTGTTTTGCCTGAAATTTAACAAATAGATCATGTGAAATTAAATTAGTGAGTGCTTCCACATTGCTGGTCATTTACGCTTTTCCCTTTCTTCTTATACTTCAATGAATCTGTACATCAAAATTAGATAGCATTTACCCCAATAATGCAATTCTGACTTTTAAAGGATGCATTTATTTAGCACAAGCAAATTTATCTTCAAAAAGTGAACATTTTAGTTTGCACCAAATTAGCCAGTTGCAGAACATTAACTTACTTGATTAAACAAAGATCACTCCAACCCTTTTTTTCAACCAACCTTCCCAACTTCTGCAGCTCTGCCGGGGATCGTATGGAGAACCGGAGAAGACAGCAGGAATTGATTCAGAATATATAGGGAGTTAGGTTTGGACTCTTTGGACAAAGCGTAGGAGAGGAGACTGGAAATTGGTGTATAGAGCTTGTACTCTCTAGTAGGAACTTACTTCGGGATTTCAGATGAGCCGTCGGTAATGGCGACAAAGATCGGCGGCGGCAAGAAGGTGGAAACAAAGCGACAGAGATTTTAGAAATTTAGGGCCGAAGTGAAGTCCGGGGTGTCAAATTAGGAATTTGGCTTGGGATAACTAGTGGAGCCTAGGGGTGGCAATGGGGTGGGGTGGGCGGAGGATCCTTCCCCCGTCCCCCGTCCCCGCGCCCTTGCCCCCACCCCCCGCCCCGTTTCCCCCACAGTCCCCGCGAGGAAAGACAAAATGAAGGGAAAAACAAAGCCATGGTTGTTGGAACTGCTTGTAAATGATATCATAGGACATGGAAAGAATTCTTGTTCCATTAGGCTCTCGTATTTACATTTTCATTAAGGCTTAGTTTGGGAGTTTATGAAGGAAGAGAAAAGAAAAGAAAAGAAAAGATAGCTTAGGAAAGAAAAGAAGAGAAGGGAAAAGATGCATATTTCGTTTGGGAGTTTAATGAAAGAAAAGAAAAGAAATATCTTTCTCTCATTTGAGAGTTGGAGAGATTTGGAAAGAAAGAATTTTATGAGAATACAACTTTACATATTTGCCCTTTCTATTTGCCCTTTCTATTTGTTAAACTCTAAATAACAAAAATATGAAATATAATATTTAAATATATTTTAATACACACAAGTTGGACGGGTAACTAGTGTGTCAGAGAGTTGCCATAATCTCCTTAAACCCGCATGCGGGTTTAAAAAGTATTCGGATATTCTCATATGCACCTATGCATATCGAACCAACCGGATATCTTATCCGTATCCCATTTTTTTAAATAAAAATCTTATAAATTTGAAAAATAAAATCAAATTTAGATGTATTAGGGTTTTAAAAATATTATATAAGTGATAAAAATTTTATAAATTGTAAAAATAAAATCAAATTTAAATAATTAAATGTTATATTTGCATAAGAATAATACAATTATCATAATTAATACAATAATATTGGTGTAATAAAACTGCCATTAATTTAAATATTTACTTATAATGCCCAAGAGCCTAATTACCAATTTTTTCTTCTCGCGCTCAAATAAACATTAACCGCATGCGAGCTAACCTTGAAATAAAAACACAGAATCTGCTTGCGGGTTTCAACGTATTATGCAGGCGGATTTTAACCTGCTTGCTTGTAAACATGTTTGGATCTTATATACATGTTTGCTTTAACACAGAATCCTTCATGATGCGATCTTTCTTCATGCTTTTCCAATTACACAAACTATATTTGTAGAAAAACACATAACAAGAACAGAATTTACATCAAAATAAAGTTTTAGATTAATTCTATTATGAATACATGGTTTTATAGATCCAAAAACATACAGAATCTATTAGACAAAAGAAGATTCATGTGGCAACTTGTATTTATAAACTCATACTACTAATATAAGAGTACAAGTTAACAAAATAAGGATCACATTTCAACTTAAACAAGAAATTAGCATCAAGTCAATTGTCATAGTATTGTAATCATTCCACATTTGCATTGCTATTTCATTCCTTAAACTTTCTCCTTGAGCATGATCTTTTCAGCACTTATATCTCCACTTTCCTCCTCCGATGGAGATTGATTGCCAATTCTTCATCCACTTCATTAATGTACTCCAAGTCAGGGTCAAACTCCATGAGAAATTATGTAATATACAACAAGCAAGCACAATTTGTGATTGTGTTCAACACTATAAGTTGGTTGAGTATCTCCAATGATTGAAACCGTTTTTTCAAGACACCAAATGCTCTCTCAATTGCATTACGCAATGATGAATGTCGCAAATGAATAGTTCTCGAAGTTTTGCGGTTGTTGACTTGAGTATTCCTTCAGGTGATACCTTACATTTCTATAAGGTGTAAGAAGTCCCCTTCTCAACATGAATCCAGCATCAACAAGATAATATTTACCTATACAAATATCAAATAGTTCTACTTAATTAAATGCACTAAGAATAATTAACTAAGTATTACCATTAGGAATGATAATTTATCTTCTCTATGAGCGCATTTTTTTGATCCTTGAATCCGATGCAGTTCTCCCAACCAGGTAAACATATGAATCTCATATTCAAAGAACATGCAGCAAGCACATTTTGTGTTGGTGTCTTTTCTACCACGATATTTTGCCGCATCAATATTAGGCACCTTAACGCGAACATGGGTTCCATCAATTGCACCCACACAATCCTGACAGTTATACACTATGTCAAAATATAATTTCTATATGAATTTACAATTTTTAAAACAAGGTGTCAAAAAGTTTATATCACCTTAAAATATGGATAAAATCTTGTACTATTAAGTATTTCCGGAGGAACTTTTTCCCGTAGGCTGCTGAAGAAATTGATCTCCAATGTTATAACTGCTCGTAAAACTCTATGAAAATGACGACTAACAGTTTCTCCAGAACGCCGATAAAAAGTATGACATTGTGATATTTTTGAGGGAATTGTTAATATATGGAGAAATTTAACAACTTGCTCTTGCACCGTGGCTCTTTGAGTAGGTGTAGACCACCATGTGTTTGCAACAAGTCACACAAGCGCCTAAAAGTTTCTGGTCCCATACGGATACCTTACTCAAATATCCATTTGTACTGAGTTGCATCAATAATTCCTCTCGTACTAAATGACATTGTGCAGACCAATATCCAATGGGTCGATCCACATAATTTGCATGGCTTAGTTTTCGAGCAATTATCATGTTTACTACCTGACAAACAATTTCAGTAGCAACCAATTGTCGCTTCCTTTGTTGAATGTCATATTCTCCATCGACTTCATTTTGTCCTTATCCATCTAAACTGTTTGTATTAGAACACTAAATTTACGAATGAGTAAATAATTAAAAAACAAATTTTATTTATTTACAAGGGTTATGGAGTCATTATCAAATACAATGTTAAAATTCTAAATATCAAATAAAAAGAAGTATTTTCTAATAGTAATGTTTTTAAAGTGCTGACATAATTTACAGTAAATAAAATAATCCAACATCCTAATAAATAAAGATTTTTTAAATGAAGATACGGAGATATAAATATCATTTTGTCTACCCAAACTTTACTGAAAAATTCTTCATGCTTTAAATTAAGTTGATCAAGCATTTGATTTTTATGTCTTTATTTTGGTCTCAGCCAGGAACACCTCTATGAATATAAATAGTATTGCTATAGCCTAGGAGATTTACTGATATCAACTAACGTAACAAATACGATTTATTCTATTGCCATATGGCCACCATCTTGTTAGACCTCATTTTGGTTTTGACGATCAGCCACCATTCAAAATAATACTTCTAGTATCATCATCTTGTTAATCATTTCAAAGAAAGATGCATTATTATAATAAAAAGAGGCTAACGTATTGTTTATGAACTCTAGATGGATTATTTTACAATTTGAATCTTACATAGGCAAATAAACAAACAGATTGTATGCATTCAAATTTCATATCCATTTATCACCACTAAAGGTCATGTACCATAACCATGCAAGATATAATCACAAATCAATAATATAAAATCAAGAGTTCATTAACAAGAATTTATGACAGAAAACGAACAAAAAATTTAGAGTATAAACAATAAGAATCTACACAAAAAAAAATACTTTTTTCACAATGCTCTAGTGAAGACTAAGCAAAGAAAGAAAGAGAGATTGAGTTAAAGAAATACTTTTGTTTGGTGAATTATGGGTGAAGAACCAAGAAAGCCAAGTTTTCTGATTTCGCAACTTGCTGGAAGTAGTGAAAGTATATGACACAGGACCACCGAGAAAGCTTCATAGTGCTTTTAGAAATCAGTTTTAGGATATATTGGGAATAATGAATTTTTGTATCAGCTTCTAAAGGACAAACTTGTCATATTAAAAATGTCTTTTGGCGCGCCATCATCTTTCCGTCCTTTTCTTCCCACTTTTGGGCGGAAAAATTTCAACAATTGGAGGGAGATTTTATCCGTTCATTTCACTTCTTTTCTGTACTTGTTAAACTCCCAAAGGAAAGAAATGGTTGTCCTTTCTCTCTGAATACTTTCTTTTCTGTCCATTTCACCCTATCCAAATGAAGCCAGGCTTTTTCACAAACATCTTATATGCACAAGGAAAACAAATTAACCACATATCACTATCCAGAAAGAAAACAACTTTATCCCATATGATCACGCTACATGGTTTAAGCCCCATAAATTGTATTTAGGCTTGATTGTATTACAGCAGAATATCCAGAAAGTGTTTTTTGCTGCATCTGATAAGCTCCAGTGAAGCTAAAAAGACAACAACAATATCAGTTCCTCCATGATGAAAGTTTTCCAACGTGGCCTCTTGAGTTAGAAGTAAATCTACTACTTGGGTTTTTTTTATACTTTTTCAAGTTTTGAATAAAATGTTTTAAGAGGTGATCAATATTAGCATGTATTGTTAGCAGAGATTGACTGAATCTTGGTGAGTGGGAATCAAGTTTTCTCAGCTATGTTACATTTATGAAAATATGCTGATTCATGATTGTGCCAGCTGATGGATACAAATGCACAATTGTGGTATATCATCAGGGAATATATCGGCAACTCTGAGGTATCAGTTCATGAGGCTTTCTTTTGTCTTGTGTGGCTTTTGGCTTTTATTTTCACTTGGATAATCCAGCGTGCAATGTCATCCTTGCGAGATTAAGAAAAATTTGAATAGTAAATAGGATTCAGTCTATTTTAAACTAGTTTTAAAGTTTGCAACATTGCGCGATATTTTTTTCAATCATATTGTATGCATATTAATGGTACTTGCCTTTGCTAATGAAAATCTAGTGATTTAAATGTCAACAGATATTGAAGTTAATATGCGGTGCAAGTGCATATGATGTCGTTAGCTCAAACAGAATGCTCAAGTTTTGCTTTTATCCAAAGCAACACCTTGAAAGTGTGAAAAAGAAAAATATTGAATATGTATTTCTCTATGCAAGTCTTTTCAAAATTTACTATGCCTTGACTTTTTAGAATTCAACAATTATACTGATAAATATTGTTCAAAGAAATTCTTGGCTCAATAAATTATTGGGCAGATCTGAAGACTAAAGAATCAGAGTGGATAAATGTTCTCCTTGGTTAATTGTTGTTCCCTCATTAATCGAGACTGAGCTTTTGTCTTTCCAATAAGACCAGAGATAGATGAATGGAGGTTAATAAGCCATATGGTTCAAATTCATGAACCAGGAAATCAGTGGGGATCATATACTTCAAAAATGGCATGGCTTTACAAGTCTTTCCTTTCCTTTCCCTCCTATTCCTTTAATGCACAAATTACCTTAAAATGAGTTCAATAGATTTATCAAGGCGCAGGCTTTAATTTTGACACCCTTCCCTGACCCCTGCAAACAACTATGCCAATCACCACACCCAATGAAGTGCGAATCCACAATAAACTGTAAACTTTATTATCTTCAACCATAGTTTTGTGCTTCCAGGGTGATCCTTTTAACATCCATGCAAGGACAAAAAGAGTGATTATCTTTTGCTGCTTGTGATATTGCAGTGAACCTTGCACCAATAAGAGAAAAATAAAAGGGAAACGAGAAGAAAGGGAACTAAAAACTATACACTGCTTTTGACAAAATTGCACTAGTTGTGTTATTGAGTCGTTAGTCTTACTTGTCATCTTTCAATAACATATCTCAGGTGTATTATATTTCTAATTGAAGATTTGAATCTTTTCTGAGCTTTGTTTTGGTTTAAGATATAAAACTGCACTGGAAATCTTTTAGGGCTAAGAAAATGCTGTTAGTGATTGAGCCTACAACTATGACCAACTAAAAGGTTTTAAATACTACTGACCAACTCTTAGCCTGTTACTTGTATTCTTCACCTTGGTGCAGGAGCGAGGTCTGGACTCAGCGGATCTTGTATCCTTTCTTCTGGAACTAAGCTTCCATTCTACTGGAAAGGTATTAAGTAAGAATGTTTGGTTTCATCAGTTCTATTGCTTGATCAGCTACTTCTTCAAAGGGTTGGGAAACTATATTGGTTCCATCACTTTGTGTAAGCTGATTTTTGGCATGGACATGATTTTGGTCCCACTTTTTATCCCCTGAAATATTTTGTAACTTGTCAGTATACTTATCATGATTTGATTTGATTTAGTTCTGAATGTAGGCTTATAATATAAACACATTGAGTGGTATACAGAGGACTATAATTAGGGATCTTGCTGATTTGGGCCTTGTGAAGCTTCAGCAGGTAAATGTTAGTTGCGCTTATTGGGTGTTTCAAATGCTGGTCTTCTAGAATTTTTGCTCCACCTGCAGTTCTTATTGTGTTTTGGCTCTTTGTCAGGGAAGAAAGGAGAGTTGGTTTATCCCGACAAAGTTGGCTACAAATCTATCTATCAGCTTATCAGATACATCATCCAGGAAACAGGTACTTCCACCCTATCTGTGATATTCTAGAACTTTGTTTATTTACCATGCTGTCCAGCCGTTACTCCCAATTATCTGTGTTCTTAAAAAAAATTGTGCTTATCATTGATTGGACTGGACATTTCAAAGGAACTTCCTCTGAACGTGGATTTGGTTGTACATTTCTTCAGCTAACTTAATATATGTCATAGCTTCTCAGTTAACTTTGATGAAATAGCAGACAGATTTTTTGACTGATTATTATTCAACTTACTCCTATCAGGAATATGCTGTTGTAGAGACAAATTTCAGGATGTATGCATATTCATCTTCCAAATTGCACTGTGAAATCTTACGTCTATTCGCCAGGTATGAAGTTACCGTGCTTGCTTAAGTTTCTTGAAATCAATATCATTGAGGAAGAAAAGATAAAAGATATACTTGATATTCTTGATGAAAATAGAGTTTTTTTTTAAACAGTTTTATGTGTATAGTTTATATCTTCTCATGAGAAATGCTTTTGTAAGTGAGCAACTATTCACAAGGATATTTTGCAGAGCAGTGTAGATAATTATGTTATGTTGTACCAAATTGAAACAAGTCTGTTGAGACCGGCTATATCTAGATACATACTCCAACAAGTTTAAGTTACATAGAAGTTTAGATCTTGACCAAATGAAGAGGTTGGAGTACAGTTTTTGGCCATCATTCATGGTTGCTCTGCTTACTATGTATGCAGAAAATGACTGAAACTACTTATAACCCTTAAATTTCCTAAGCTTGCTAGCCATCTGAAAAGTCTTTTACTGGATGAGGTCCTAGTCAGCTTCTGCAGACATTATTCTCATACATCTTTGAACCTTTCCTGCAACTTGTGACACTAGGATATCTTGGATGTGGTGACAGTCAGCTTCTATGGCAGAGATTCTCATCCATCTTTGAACCTTGTACATTTTGTCAAAGATCCTCCTGAAATTTGCCTCGTTAGTTTGGCTTTTAACACAACATTGATCTAAATGTTTATGCCAGGTTTAATTGTCCTGTCCTGTAAACTGATATCTCTTGACTGCATTTCCAGCAATTAGGCAAAGGTTTGTCTTATACAGCAGGGTAGGGCAGCAGGATTTTGGGAACCATAGTTGGTAGAAAAGGGTTAGAAGATATATATATATATATATATATATTGTTGCTCGAGTAAAATATAGAGAGAAGACTTCAAATTATGTACGCTTGAGTTAAAAGGTGCGCTTGTCTATAATGTGATAGTCATTAAGGATGCGAGTAGTCCAGAATTATTCCAGTTTTGGTTCTCATAGTTGAGTTAACAAAACAATTCTGATATTACATATTCAAGTTAAAAAGGTTAAATTTCCTAGCACCATCAGCATTTCACAATGTTGATCGTTGAATCTCAAAGTAATTGTGCCAAAGTTGCCCTTGAGCTTGTGTAAGGCTGCATGTCAAGCAGGACTACAAGAAAACTTCTTTTATACCATCTCGTTTTTGCAATCTTCTTCACAAGTTGATGCAAACCAGATTGATGTGGAGCAGACTTTGTAGAAGATCCATTAGCAGTTCTCTTGAGGCTTGAAGAAAGAATGGTGGAAAAGTTCTATGGGGTGAAAAATAAAACCGAAATTTTCTTTTGCAACTGATAGTGCAATCAAACATCAAAGCTTTCCTTTCTCTTGTTTTTTCGTATTGCCTATAGTCCTATAGTGTGACCTAACTATTTTTTCCCTAAATTATTTGAGCTCCACATTTGTATTGAGGAATTAGAGAACCATTCGTAGTTCCATATGGCCATTTACTCGTAAAAAATTGAGTTGTATTCTTGTTGTTGGTTTTTCCTTCGAGCAAATGAGAACTCATCTTTCTTTGTCTAGTTTGTTTTTGGCTAGTCTTTCTCATGTAGCTTTACAGCTTGCAGGACCTCAACGTAATCGTTGAAGGACTTTTTTATTTTTTTAGGGTGAGAGGAGAGAGAGAGAGAGAGAGATTTGGCTAACATAGGTCTTGCAACTTCTGCCTACTGTGTCCCCTATTTGATAGTTTGCTGAATGTAGTGATAGTTTATGGAGTTGAATGATAGTCTGACTATTTGACAAAAAAAAATGAAGAAAAGAATGATAGCCTGTCTTACCATCTGGGATACAAAGCTAGATTGCATAAAGGGATTTATGATCATCTCCTGAAAAGGAAGAAACTGTTTACTGGGAAACGCACGTTACTGACTTCAAGTTCATATGCTTTAGTCCTTAAATCCTATTATATAATTATATTGCTTGTCTCTTTATAAACTGTCTGGTTGAAATTACAGGGTTGAATACCAACTTCCTAACTTGATTGTTGGAGCAATTACAAAAGAGAGTCTATATAAAGCTTTTCAAAACGGTATAACTGCCGAACAAGTAAGTATTTATTTGTGTTTTACAAGGTTTAATGTTACTTGAAATTTTTCCTTCAATCTCAACTTCTGCAATTTATAAAAGGTATGTGGATTTCGATGTTTTGATACAATGTGTGATTTATATATATTTCCAGAGAGAAATGCATGGTAGAGAGTGGTTTTCTTCTTAGGTGTGATTAATGATTATTAAGAGGCGTTCATGCATACTCTAGTTGTGGTTAATTGGGCTTGGTCTTGTTCCCATAGTTTCTAACTGATTGTGCATGTTTAACTTAATAATCATATTTTAACTAACTTTGTTATGTATAAATTACACGAGCACAAAATTTTTTTGTGTGTCACAAGACATTTGTATCTGTTATGTGTGTTACATTATATGATAATAAATCAACAAAGTTACTTGAACCTTTAGTATCGAGTGGAACACAAGTTACAAATAGTTGAACATTCTGGAAATTTGTTAGTTTAGTATTCTTTCCCTATGTGACTTGAAAGGATCCAATGCTTCATTTTCTGGATGTTGTCTGTGGTTGGCCCAAACAAGTTATCGCAAAAATGAAAAAGCAATCTCTCTTTCCAAAATATTTGTAGTCTATTTCAACAAACACTTCAAAAATAATTGATCGGTCTATAGGATGAGTTTGGCGGCATTTTATATATTTCACTTCTATGTTAATAGTTTGTTATAAACAAATTATAAAAATAGGAGATCTTATACATGAAAGAGATCAAAGTTACTATTCTTTGGCAGAAGATCTCATGATTGGTCTCTAAATGTTTACTCAATATGTTTAGCGAGGGATGGAGTTTGTATAGGATTTAGTTAATTCTGTAGCTAGACAGTTAATTATGTAATATGTCCTTTTTTAATTATTTTTTTCAACATTAGCTGGTCAATTTACTAATTGACTATAATGTCATGCAGCAATTATCTTTTGTCTCCGAAAATCATTCTCCCTTTTTGTTGCGGTATTGCAGATTATTTCTTTTCTTCAACAGAATGCACATCCTCGAGTTGCAGAGAGAATACCTACTGTGCCTGAGAATGTCACTGATCAGGTTCTTCTATCTTGTGGCATTTCAGTCTGATATGTTTTATATTTGTTGCTTCTTTTCTGATGTTTCATGCTTCCTGGTTCCACTGAATGTAAATCCTACAGATAAGGTTGTGGGAATCAGATTTGAATAGGGTGGAGTGTATACCTGCACATTTCTTTGAAGAGTTCCCCTCTAGGGTAAGCATCAAAGCTGATTCTCACAACCAAGGTTCTTTCTTGTTGGTCTTGGATTTGACATTATTGTGACTTTGTGCATTTGTCTACCAGGAAGTGTTCGAGGCTGCATGCGATCATGCATGAGTGAAAGCAGAAAGTTTTGCCTACATGAAGGAGTTTCTTCGTGGAAAGAAGCAATAGTCTTTTGGCACTTTCCTTGAACTCTGTAATGTAGTTTGTTGGCCAAATGGTCCTCACAGTGCATGAAAAATCGAATTTAAAACAAATCATAATCAAAATTTTAGCTAACAGAGCAGTGTAATTGTGTTCTTTAAGAAAGGAAACATTTTGAATATCTACTAATTATTTTGTTAATTTTGGATCTTATTTACTTTTTATACTTGTTTTCTTGTATTGTCTTTGGTACGACAACTTTTTTTTTTATTTTCCCTTTTCGGTCCTTTCCTTATGAATTGGATTAAGCGATTATGGTTTCCCATGGTTATGTTTTTCACACACGCACATGATCTTGATGAGCTAAGTGTCTATCCTGGTCTGGTCTAAAAGGTTTCAGTTAAGAAACAATGAGTTGGAAGGCATTTCCATTTTGCCTTTGCCTGTGTTTTTGTCAATCGGGTTAAAAGCAGTTTTCATTGTAGCAAATCCTTATCATCTCTACTTCTGGCTGCAGACTAAATGATAGCATGTGGGATGATGGAAATTCCTTGGCCCTAAAGAGGTTCATAATTATTTAACCCGCGAGTGATGTACAATCGCCGCAATAAGTTTAATCCTTTGTGGAATTCTCTTATTCTTGGAGGACTAAAAATGGACAGAAGTACCTTGGAACGGGTAATCCCTAAATTGCATACATAAATTGTTTAGCAAATACCATTTATTCAGTAGATATCTTCTTGACATACGTGATGGTTCTTCAGGTTACTATGATTGGTGTACATTATGAGGATAATCATGTTGCAACTGGTTTTGGTAATCACCTTGCACGACCATTCTCAGGGAGGAATGGAATGAAAACTTGACCTTTGAAGAAGGTGTCAAGCTATTGGAGAAGTGCATGCGCGTCCTCCTTTATCGTGATAGATCAGCTGTGAACAAACTCCAGGTATGGTTATTTTTGGGATAGTCTGCAATGATGATAGCTTCTTGATTGTGTGTTTTAACCCATATTATATGCTAGTGTTTCGTATTATTTCCTTTGATACAATTTTATTCTTTTTACTTGGTATATGTTTATATTCGGGCTGGTTTTTCTTCAAGCATCTTTGACAAAGGTTTTGTTTTTGGTAAAAAAAAAGGGTAATGTCAAATATTGAGAAGCAGGAATCTTGTCTGTGAAAGAAGTCATCATAACCCAACTTGCTTATATGACGTTATATTTGAGATACCTTTCTGGTGCTTAATTTTCCAAATCCTGCTTTATGTTTCATGTATGAAACAAAAAGAAAATAAAATAGATCTTACTAACGGCAGTTGGGTATCATTCTCATCAATTACTGCTCAAAGAATTATTTTCATGGTCAAGAACAGTTAAACATTGCTGGTTTTAACTTTTTTTTATTATCTTGAATGAGACTTCAGAACATCTGTTTGAATTTGACGCGACCTTTTAATGCCATTTTATGCAGTAGACCATTCAACTCCGAAATATTACCATGCCCATGTTTTAATATTCATGTTTGATTCCATTTGAATGGATTTAAACCTTTTGTTTTCACTTATATTTATTTTGGTGCGTCAACACTTTGACTTGGGGAATTTGCAGATTGCAAAAATCACAGATGAAGGTTTCACAATTTCTCAGCGCGTATTCATTGAAGACTCAGTGGAAGTTTAAAGCTTTCGAGAATCCAACAGTCGGTGCTGAGGGCTCATGGTAGTCAGCTCTCTTGTGTGCAAAGGAAATCAGTGTGTTTGGAAATATGCACTTGAAACGCGACCTTTTAATGCCATGTTATGCAGTAGACTCGTGGGTTACAGCTCCCAAACACTGTTGTTCTTCTAGCGGACTTATTTGCTTGTGTTTGTCACATGATTTAGAGACATTGATAATGCTCTAGACGGTGATGACTTTGGATTGAGTTTGTACTTCAGTTTGTGAAAATTCATGACTGGGAATGGAACCATCCTTATGCCTCTGCCAAGTCATGACAAACTTGTCACAATCTGCAATACATTCAAAATAAATTCCTAGAACCTTAATATGTTGCAGTCTAGGATAAACAGATTCCAAATGCCTCTTCTTTTATGTGCAGATTTTGTCCCACAACCTGCAAACCTTTCGTCCCTGGAGTGGCGGTTGCTGCCTGTAGTTCTTTACTACTTATTGGACTAGCAGTTGCTTTCATTACCCAAAAAAGGAAAGCAGCCATCTTTTTCGTTTGTGTTTTTTCTTTGAGCGAGAAGAAAGTTGCCATCTACTATGTAGGAAGTCTTTAATTGTGGAAAATTGAGAAAGGTTTTCAAAATAATGATTGCGTTGACTGATGATAGTTGCAAGAATTTTAGAAGGAATATATGAACTTGAAAACTAAAAATAATTCTTTGGACGAACTACTTACAATTTGAAGCTTTTTTTTTTTCCACTCATGGAAAATTGGCCTTGTTTTCTTGTACAATTTACTCTGTCATTCAAGTCGTCGAATGCTTTTATAATAACCATGAATTATTGGACTGCTATTATTATTTTTTAATCTTGTTCAAGAATTCGCCAATCACACTTGATGATCATATGAAGGAAATTTTAAAGTTTAAAAGAACCTGTTTAACTATTCACAATCTCACTTAACGATCATATGGAGGAAATTTTAAACTTTAAAAATCATGTAAAAATTTGTGGTGATAGTGTACGGATTGAAAATTGTACAATTAAAAGATTTTGGAAAAATTTAAACAAAATCATCAAAATTAAATTATAGACTTACTAAAGGTGAAACAACTCAAGAAGAAAAATTAGGAGGAATTGACTTTAATAAAAAAAATGTCCAAGAATGTATTAGTAAATAACCTTATAAAGTTTTATAAAAAAAAAAGTTTAATTATTTTAACTTTTCTAACAACTAATGTATATGAGAAAATTAGTTGAAGGATCTCGTCGAGAAAAATTTTATTATAAAATGTCCAAATAATGTCCGATATTTTTGTTAATGCTTAATAATTACTTGATAATTCAAGAAGTCGAGGACTGGGCAAATTCGCATAATCGATTCTGTATCCGTCTTTATATATATATATATATAAATCTATCACTGTTAAACGTTAGAGACACATTCGCAAAAACCCAATAGTGAATCCGCCACCACCCGCAGGAGATGTTGAGCAACCACAGGAGTATCACAAGAAATAGCTCAGTAAAGTTGCTCTTTCAATCCATTTTGTGTTCTCAATTCATCTGTGATTATACCATGAATTTTTTATGACTTATTCTTGGTTTTTCTTCTTCGTTTCTCTGGTGCATTTGTGGGATCGGTTTTCATTGGGTACCAACTATTTGATAAAAGTCCCCAACTGAAATTCAGAGAGAGGGGATCATTTAAAAAAAAAAAAAATTTTGTTATTGCTTATTTTAGGTGATTTCTAATGAGCCCCAGTTGGATTGTGTAGGTTTGTGCGTGCTCGTTGTGAGAAAAAGACATAGCAGACCAGCTGCCAAGAAGAGCACAAACAACAGTTGTCTAAGACTGTCTAAGATCATAAACAACAGTTGTCTAAAGTATTTTTTGAGCTCTCCAACCTCATTGTTGAAAAAGAAGTAAGCAAGGAAAAGATGCCGCAAGTGAAAATCGTCGCGAAGAATTTTATGGACATGGTGGCTTCATTGCCTGCAATGAAGCTTGACAAACTTTATCAGAATGCCTTTATTTGTCAAGCTATCCTTAGGTTAGAACTGTAAATCCTCTATCATAACGCCTTAGTTTCTGGGTAACATTTCGTGTGTTTTAAGATTCGTTAATGCACTGTTATTGGTTGTTATGCTTAGATCAATGCCGCCATTGGCAAAGAGGTATGTTCTACAATTGCTGTTCATAGATGCGCCTGTGACTGGTAAAATGTTGGAAGAGTCTGTGCTTGCGGATGGGTTGTCAAAGCACAAAGTAGCTATTGATAGATTAGTTCAGCTGAGAGTATTGACTGAAGCTCTTGACCGGTAAATTGGACCCCTTTAGACCTTTTTTGTTCTTAATTTTTATTTTATTTAATCTAAAGAGTGATATTGTTGGCGTAATTCTTGTTGATATCTGAGGAAACAGTGTTTGTTTCAGCATGAAAGGTCTGTAGAGAGACAGTGCAAAGTTGTTTTTAGTCTTTCCATACAGATAAATTTGATCGTGTTATCTATGTATAACTCATTCTAAATTAAGTTAGTTTGGGATAGAAATATTTTTTCCAATTTTCAATATATAAAGTTGAGAAATTTAGGATTCCTATGGAGAGAAACAAGGATTTTTATGGACATGAATGATTGTATAGTTTAGTTGGTATAGAAATGCTTTTCTAGCTTCCAAGATACAATAGTGAGAAAATTAGGATTGTTATGATGATAGCTGAAGATTTGTATGGACATGAATGATTGTCTTTTTGTTTTGCAAATATTATTTTTTTTGTATGAATTAGCAAAGTTGTCAGGGAAGACCGTGGTAAATACAGTCATATATTTAAGAGGAATTGTCTTCTTTTATCTTTTTCTGTTTACTTTCAAACTCAAAGTGCTAAGGCATCGTTTGACTTGAAAGTTTGTTAATGAACCTTTGTTTTAGAAACTAAATTATGAAGTTCCATAGATGCCATGTTAAAACTATTTGACAGATACATGGTTAATTTCTAATGTGGTCCTCCCTTCTTCTTCTTAGTATGAGATTTTTGTTCTTCAGAAGTCAATTAGTGATACAAATGAGTAATATAGAGCATCATGAAGAAGAAGTTACATGGCAGAGGCTACTGCATGACCTTCCTTAAACATGTATAAGCAATATTTTTTTTTTCAATCATATATAAGCAATATATGCATAGCTGCTTTTTGTGTATGCCATCCAGTTATTCATTTTGTTGTTTTGACCCAAAATATGTCTCAAACTGTGAATATCTGACAACATCAAATTTTTATCAACGCTGTTTCTAAATTAGTCTTCTTAGGCCATTGGTTATTTCCTTTGATGGTTTGATTGCCTCTTGTTTATTCCCTTTCCACTGGACTTGGCTCACCTGCTAAAGAAAGCTATTCATCATATTTGCAGGAAAAAAGAAGCTACTTACAGAATGAACCCTACATTTCAGATAAATGTTCAAAAGCTTATTGTGCATGGGTAAGAATTAGATCTATCATGTGTGCTTTGTTGTTTTATTCACAATTGGGAGATGCTTTAATGGGTCTTTTCCCCCATTCATGTTGGAAGAGGTTGTTATATCTGCATAGACATACAAATAAACACACACACATGCACGCACATGTAAAGGTCTATATATATGCATATGAATATTTATATATATGTATATAGGTCTATCCTCTTATTGTTCAGCCAGATATTTACACAAAGTAAGTTCCATCGCCATTAAGCCAAATACAACAGAAACAGACAAGAGAGCCTGTAAGGACCTATGAGAACAACTATATATCAGAAGAGCAACATGTCCACAATTACTAATATTGTTAACTGTCAAAAACAGAAAAGGGTATACTCAGCTCAGAACATAAAGAGTAGTTTCCTACAGTT